AAAATGGTTTTCGATGTGCGGCTAGAACTTTGCACGCACTACATTTTGGTGCCAAAATTTTGAAGATCGGACAATATTTAGTGGCACTTTTTCAGTTCCCCGTCCTTTGACCTTGAATTTGACCTTGAAGTTTGACCTTGATGAAAATGGTTTTCGATGTGCGGCTAGAACTTTGCACGCGCTACATTTTGGTGCCAAAATTTTGAAGATCGGACAATATCTAGTGGCACTTTTTCAGTTCCCCGTCCTTTGACCTTGAATTTGACCTTGAAGTTTGACCTTGATGAAAATGGTTTTCGATGTGCGGCTAGAACTTTGCACGCGCTACCTTTTGGTGCCAAAATTTTGAAAATCGGACAATATTTAGTGTCACTTTTTCAGTTCCCCGTCCTTTGACCTTGAATTTGACCTTGAAGTTTGACCTTGATGAAAATGGTTTTCGATGTGCGGCTAGAACTTTGCACGCGCTACATTTTGGTGCCAAAATTTTGAAGATCGGATAATATCTAGTGGCACTTTTTCAGTTCCCCGTCCTTTGACCTTGAATTTGACCTTGAAGGTCAAGGTTAAGGGGTGAATGGGTTCGATTTTCGTGATGCTCATGGTCCAATTGACCTTGGACGAGGTTTTGGCTAAAATCGGTGCTCGTCGCTGGAAAAGTCGCTGGTGACGTATCATTTTTAAAGTTCCCCGTTCTTTGACCTTGAATTTGACCTTGAAGTTTGACCTTGATGAAAATGGTTTTCGATGTGCGGCTAGAACTTTGCACGCGCTACATTTTGGTGCCAAAATTTTGAAGATCGGACAATATTTAGTGGCACTTTTTCAGTTCCCCGTCCTTTGACCTTGAATTTGACCTTGAATTTTGACCTTGATGAAAATGGTTTTCGATGTGCGGCTAGAACTTTGCACGCGCTACATTTTGGTGCCAAAATTTTGAAGATCGGACAATATCTAGTGGCACTTTTTCAGTTCCCCGTCCTTTGACCTTGAATTTGACCTTGAAGTTTGACCTTGATGAAAATGGTTTTCGATGTGCGGCTAGAACTTTGCACGCGCTACATTTTGGTGCCAAAATTTTGAAGATCGGATAATATCTAGTGGCACTTTTTCAGTTCCCCGTCCTTTGACCATGAATTTGACCTTGAAGGTCAAGGTTAAGGGGTGAATGGGTTCGATTTTCGTGATCTTCATGGTCCAATTGACCTTGGACGAGGTTTTGGGTAAAATCGGTGCTCGTCGCTGGATAAGTCGCTGGTGACGTAGCATTTTTAAAGTTCCCCGTTCTTTGACCTTGAATTTGACCTTGAAGTTTGACCTTGATGAAAATGGTTTTCGATGTGCGGCTAGAACTTTGCACGCGCTACATTTTGGTGCCAAAATTTTGAAGATCGGACAATATTTAGTGGCACTTTTTCAGTTCCCTGTCCTTTGACCTTGAATTTGACCTTGAAGTTTGACCTTGATGAAAATGGTTTTCGATGTGCGGCTAGAACTTTGCACGCGCTACATTTTGGTGCCAAAATTTTGAAAATCGGACAATATTTAGTGGCACTTTTTCAGTTCCCCGTCCTTTGACCTTGAATTTGACCTTGAAGTTTGACCTGGATGAAAATGGTTTTCGATGTGCGGCTAGAACTTTGCACGCGCTACATTTGGGTGCCAAAATTTTGAAAATCGGACAATATTTAGTGGCACTTTTTCAGTTCCCCGTCCTTTGACCTTGAGTTTGACCTTGAAGTTTGACCTTGATGAAAATGGTTTTCGATGTGCGGCTAGAACTTTGCACGCGCTACATTTTGGTGCCAAAATTTTGAAAATCGGGACAATATTTAGTGGCACTTTTTCAGTTCCCCGTCCTTTGACCTTGAATTTGACCTTGAAGTTTGACCTTGATGAAAATGGTTTTCGATGTGCGGCTAGAACTTTGCACGCGCTACATTTTGGTGCCAAAATTTTGAAGATCGGATAATATCTAGTTGCACTTTTTCAGTTCCCCGTCCTTTGACCTTGAATTTGACCTTGAAGTTTGACCTTGATGAAAATGGTTTTCGATGTGCGGCTAGAACTTTGCACGCGCTACATTTTGGTGCCAAAATTTTGAAAATCGGACAATATTTAGTGGCACTTTTTCAGTTCCCCGTCCTTTGACCTTGAATTTGACCTTGAAGTTTGACCTTGATGAAAATGGTTTTCGATGTGCGGCTAGAACTTTGCACGCGCTACATTTTGGTGCCAAAATTTTGAAAATCGGACAATATTTAGTGGCACTTTTTCAGTTCCCCGTCCTTTGACCTTGAATTTGACCTTGAAGGTCAAGGTTTAGGGGTGAATGGGTTCGATTTTCGTGATCCTCATGGTCCAATTGACCTTGGACGAGGTTTTGGCTAAAATCGGTGCTCGTCGCTGGAAAAGTCGCTGGCGACGTCGCCAACTTCACGGACATGGATAGCCCGTCGTGAAAACGGCAAATGACCAACGAACGTTCGTCCCGGCAGCGTCGTCACTTGAGCTGCAGCAGCACCACCATGTAGGTGACGGCCAGGGTGGCCACCGAGGCCAGCAGGCCGCTGTTGATGCTGGTGCTGCTGGTGACGCTGGCCGACGGACGGAGCGCGCCGCTGAGCGCCACCAGACGACCGGCCTCGGCGGCGGCGGCGGCCTGGCGCGGCGGCCAGCGCAGCAGCAGCGCGGCCGGCCGGCCGGCGGCCTCCTCCAGCCGCTGGCCCTGCAGGCACAGCAGCGCCGCGAACGCCGCGGCGTTCAGCGCGCTGTACGCCGACAGCGCCACGTCCACGTCGAACGGCTGCGAGGTCGGCCAGGTGCACAGCTCGGCGATGGCCACCGACACGTTGCGCGCCAGCTCGCAGAGCGCCGTCAGCGAATAGGAGGCGGCGCTGTACAGGGCCGTGGCGTCGGCGGCCGCCAGGAACAGCGCCCGCTGGCCGGCGATGTCGGCGGCGGGACTGCGAGCCGGCGGCGGCGGCGGCGGGTCACCCGCGGAGCCGATCACACTCGCGCTGAGCTCTTTGAACAGCTTGGCCGAGTGCTGAACGCCACCTCTGTGAGGTCTGGCCCAGAAGCGGGGTGATCTGGTGGGGCTAGGGTGACGGATTCGCTTCTCAGAAGTCGGATGAAGAATCGCTTTCAGTTCGGCTGAAATAGCGTCAAACTCATCCGTCAAAACCCCCATGAGGTGAATGTTCAGCGCCAGCAAGGAAAGCCGGCGCAGGCTTGTGACGACATTCGACAGGTCTGTGCAGGTGGGCGGGATGGCAGTGCCCGCGACAACCAGCTCGTTCTTGTTCAAGAACATCCTCCTTAGGATGATGCCGGTCTTGGCTGCGGCCATCGCTGCCACGAGCAGGCACCGGCCCCAGGAGCGTGCCGAGCCGCCGGAGCCGCGCAGCTGACGCTCCGTCAGCAGCCCGTCAATGCTGCCGAGAAGACGCGCGGCCCTCGGACCGCGAGTGGTCGTCATCCACACCGAGGCGGTCAGTGTGATAAAGGAGACCATCTCGAACAGAATGGCCAGATGTGTGTTGACTCCGAAGACCTGCAGCGAGGACGGCGTGAGGTAGAAGGCGCTGTTGACGGTGAGCAGGAGGGCCGTGATGACGGAGATGGCGACGGGCGCGCTGCAGAGACGGTGCTGGTAGGGCGGTGTGCCGCTGAGGGCGCCCACCACCACCGGCAGGCCGCCACTGAGCACGGCTGTCACCCGCCACGGGGCCGGCCAGCCGGCGAGCGCGTCCGGTGGCTGTCCGGTGCCGGTCATACTATCCTGTCCCGGAGCTGGCCGGCCACTGCACCCTTCAGCCGCGCGAGATCACCAGCAGGGCGCCCTGCCGAGGTGGCGGCGACTCGGCGTCTGCCCGACGGCGACCGGACGATTTCGCAGCACACGTTTCCTCGTAAATACCACTCACGCAATTTAGTGTGCCCAAGTCACCAAGTGGATAGTTTGCGTGACAAAGTTGTCTGATGTTAATGTGAAACGTCAAGTGCAGGCCGGTTCTACATCGATTTAATCATGCATTAAAAGTAAATAGTTATTGAAAGACTCATTCGAAGTGGTATGTCCACAGCATATTTGAGTCTGAGATGCAACATTGCAATGACGATTGTCACCGAAGCTATACCTAACTGTCCCTCTGAAACCCACAGGCCACAGCCGCAGCTTTCAGTTTTCATCAGGCGAACAAACATAGGTAAGTACATACCTAGCTCGAATTCGTCTCTGTAATAACATTTGGTCATGATGTGGAACCGTTAAATTGATAACAAAATCATTTTCATTCAAGCACGTTCGGGCGGCAGCAGGCGATATGAATAGCGTGGTGCCGATTGCCGAAGGATGTAATATTTTTACGGTTTATCAGCAAATAGAACAGCGGTTTGAATATTTCATACGTCAGCTCGCTTTATCGATTAATCCACGTCCTGGGCAGGGGAGGAGAGGGGTTGTTTGAACATTATTTTTCAGCCTTGCGGTTTTCGCGAATATTCCCAAAAAGACGACGCGTAACGCAAATAATGCAATCAGCTACGCTCAGTTACACGTAATTTATTGGCTGTCGACAAGGTCCTACCTGACCGTAGTACGGTCGAAGCCGGGTTGGTGAGCACGCCATCCATATTGATATGCAATGTGCAATTGTGCAGCCACTATCGAGCGAGGGCCACGCGCCCCCACCGACCAGCCACCGGCCAGTTCAGAGGCACCCATTACACAGAGGCTGATGGCCGTCACGACACTGACGTTGCTGGCTAATGACTACCCTCAAACTCGATGACCGTCGCCATCGCAGCGTAAATCAACACTGCCGCTATTGCCAACACGGTAGCATTCCTAAACACTCCTTTGTCTCAACATGTACCGGTGACCCGGAGACTCTGCAAAGCGTCATGGATAACAGGTAAAGCCCGTTTCCAGCGGGATCTGTTGTGCATCTCTTCATTTCACAAGCCGTACCTACCAGCCAAATGACACACAAATCAACATTTTCACATTTATTTATCTCAAATGCACTATCGATTCAGTTTCACACTCGAAGCACCGCGTGTAACTCACTTAAAAGAAGGCGCGGCACCCGCCGGGCGCGACCCGGCGCGCGGCGCCCGGGATACGTTAAAACCACTTTGTACTTGAGTGTCGGAGACCCGGCCGGATCGGCCCTCTCCCACACACCGGCCCACACAGTCCGATCAGGTCAGGAGTCCGGCGGTAAAGCCGCCCGGCGCCCAGCGCTGCGCACCGCCACTCCACCGGCCAAAAGGTCATAGCAAAACGACACTCTTAACACTAGACTCGCAGCAATCTACAACGCAATGCATAACAGAACAAAGAACAGAAATGCTGTTTGCAAGAGAACAGAAATGGAATTAAGATCGACTCCACACATTCATGGTATGTATATTTACAAATTCATCGCTGAAAATATGTACAGCTTTCGCGCACGGTCGGCAGCCTTCTGCTGTGAGAGCGCCGTCCACGCCCAATAAGTTTTGTACACATTATATAAAAATACTGCTTCACTTAGTCTGGCAGCGGGACAGGATGGGGCGCGGACCGGTCACTCTGGCAGCGGAGGCGGCGGCTGCAGGCCGTCAGTGCGCCGGCGGAGGCGGCGGAGGCGGGGGCGGCGGCGGTGGTGCGCACGGGAATGGCGGCGGCACGGGCGCCGGCGGCGGCGGGGGGACCGGTCGCGGTGGCGGCGGCGGCGGCGGCACCGAGAAGGGTCCGGCCGCGCCCACCGGCGCCGGCGCCGGCGCCGTCGGCAGCCGTCCGTTCAGCCTGGCCGCCGCTGCGTGCAGACGCACCGGCGGAAACAGGCCCGGACGGAAGGCGGGCGGCGCGCCGAGCCGCGGCGGCGGCGGCGGACACGTCGGCAGACCGTTGGGTAGCGCGTGTCGCGAGCCAGCCGCGAACGGTGAGCGCAGCTTGAGCGCCGAGCCGGCGGTACCCGCAGGAGCGGAGCCGGCAGCCGCCGGCGGCCTGAGCAGAAAGCCCGCGGGCGGCGGCGCCTTTCCACCGGCAGGGGGTCGCGGTGGCGGTGGCGGTGGCGGTGGCGGTGGCGGCGGAGGCGGGGAGTCCCGGGACGGCCTCCTGACGACCGGTCGCGGCGGCGGCGGCGGCACGGGAGCCGGCGCCGGGGCGGCCGCGCGCCGAACGCCCCCTGGCGCCGGCGCTGCCGCTGGCAGCGCTGGTGGCGGCGGCGACTCCTCCCGGGCTGACGTCCGCCGCCGCACCGTGCCAAGCGGCGGTGTGGGCGGCCTCTTCTTGACCGGTGACCGCGCTCTGGTCACCGGCGGCGGCAGCGGCGGCGGAGACGGGGACGAGGGCGGCAGCGGCGCCGGCGGTGGAGGCAATGCCGGCCGCGCCTGCTCGTCCACCTTGAGCCCGAACTCGCGTCGTAGTCGCTCCGTCAGGTTCTCTCGCTGTCGCTCCAGCATAGTGGGCGCCGCGTTCCAGCGCACGGTGGCCAGCTTCGGCGGCGCTGCGTCCGGAGATGGCAGTGACGACGACGACGCTGGCGAGGGAGGCGACGCGGGCGACGCCGGAGAGTGCGGGGACGGCGGCGACTGGACCGGCCCCGGGTCCACCGCGGGGCTGGCGCCTGACGGGGAACAGTCACAGATTAGAACTTTGCGGATAGCAGAACCATACGGAATATTATAAAGGTAAGGCGAAAGACACCGTGCTTTTAGTAAAACAGACGATCTTTTCAAAACAAGAGTGAAATAGGCGACCGGCAATTACTGGAATATTAGATAAGCCTGCCAAGTGCCTTAAGAGACTTAAATGGATTACGTCGATGCCTCAAACATACACACTCAGCCACGCCGAAGGCGCACACAACTGTAAGCATTCCTATCATAAATCATAATCGAATAAGCCGACTGCGAGCTGGTCTCCCTCGAGAACCGTACCCACGTCTTCCCAGCCCTGTTACTTACCATCTGTTCCTCCCGCGACCGGAGCCGGGGGAGCAGGGGCTGCTGCCGCGGTGACGGAGGCCGGTTCGGACGCCGGCCCGGCGGCAGCGGCCGGCGCCGGGGACCGGGGCGGACTCGGCCGCGGGCTGGTCTCCGCTGACCCCGGGTCGGCGGCCGGCGGCGTCCGCTCCGCCGTCTCCGTGGGCGTCTTGTCGGCCGCCTCCGCTGTCGGTTTCTCCCCGGTAGATGCCTGTGAGGATGGCGGCGCGGGCGCTGTCGGCGGAGGCGGCGGCGCGTCCTTCTTACGCTGTCGGTAGTCCTGCAGACTTAGTCGCCGTTTCACCACCGGGGGCGGCGGCTTAGGTGGCGCCGGCGGGGGCGGGGGCGGCGCCGGCTCCTGTTTCTCCGGCGACCCGACATCGGGCGGCGGCGGGGGCGCGGTCAGCTCGCTCTTGACTGGCGATGTCAACACGCGCGTCCCGAGCACCGCCGCCGCCGGAGAGAGCGCGCACGAGTCCAGAGGCGCCACCGAACCGGTCGCGTTCGGCCCGTAGCTGGGTGGCAGTAACGTGCGAGGGTCCAATTTAGTGTACGACACTGGGCCTGGGGGTACACTCGGCGCCGCGTACAAGTCCAGCTTGACAGGCGACGACAAAGAGCACACGGGCGACTGCCCAAACGGAGATTTCACGGGTGACGGCGACTGGTTAGGCGGTAAAGAACAGGGGTCCGCCTTCACTGCAGTCGCCGTGTTATCGGACGCTGCCACAGAGTAAAACCCGTCGAACTTCGTTGGCGACAGTGCCACACCCGTCGCTGGCGCGCTGGCGTGCCGCTTGGCCGGGGAGCTCATGAAACCGAGTCCTCCAACCCCGGGGTCGGACTCTCGTTTCGGCAGCGAGGACAGCGTGCAGTCTGCGGCGCCGGCAGCGGACGTCAGCCGCGGGTCTCCACCGGTGGTCAGCAGCTGGTATCCGCCGAACGGCGCCGGGTCCCTGCCGCCCTCCGCAGCCGGTTCACGTTTCACCGGAGACACAGAGGCAGTCAGCGACATGTTGAGCGGCAGCGCCGGGTCCATTTTGGCCGGCGACGGCAGCGTGGCGGCCAGCGCGTACCGCGAGTTCCCCACCCCGCACAGCACCGAGGCGCGCTCGGGCTTCACGGGCGACCCGGCCGGCGGGTACCCGATCGCGCGCACCGCGGCAGCAGCGTCCTCTTTGGCCGGCGATCGGCCGAACTCTGCCGCCGGCGGCGGCGGCTCAGTCCTCCACTCGGACGCGGCGCGCACGTCCAGCCTCAGCGGCGACTTGGTGTCCAGTCTGAGGGGCGACGACCCGGCGCCGGACCCCTCCGGCACCGGCAGCTCCACCTCAGCCTTCACAGGGGAGAGTCGGCGCGCGTCCGTCACCGGCGCCGGCGCGAACTCCCACTGGCGCGGCGACACGGCCGACGGAGGGCCGCAGCGCGGCTGCCGAGACGCCGCGTCCAGAGTCCACTCCATGGCAGAGTCCGGGTCCGGGTCCGCCGGGACCGGCACTGGCGGAGGCGCCGGTGGAGGGGCCGGCGGAGGCGGGTCGGATGACTCGCGACTGGCACCGAGCGGTGACGACTCCGAGTCGGGCTCCTGGACCACGGGCAGCGGAGGGGCCACCGGTGTCAGTGGCGAGGTCGGCGTCAGATCGTTGGAGATGGAGCTGCGCGCCAGCCGACGCTTCTTCAGAGGCGTGAAGTAGTCGGATGCACCCGGAGAGTCTGCAGGTGCGAGCACGGCGTCAGAGGGCGAAAGCGGAAAGGCAAGTCGCAAAGCTGTTTTTAAAATGTGTTCCGAATTTGCACTACGTAAAAAAGGGGTGCAATATACTGTTCAACTCCTATTCGTGTGAAACTTGAAAAGATTCAGTCAGCAAAGCTGTAAAATAACCGATGCTTATGTCTAAGAAGTGCCCTAAATACTCCATCCTGCACAATATCAACTCTCCGAACACAATTCCACAATTCATAAATGTTACGAGATCGATCCTGTTCTTATCCCAAAATGGTATAATCTTTTTCCCATTTTTCACTGCCCCTCAAAACTGAAACACGAACACACCCCTCACAAAAGAGTCCGCCCCTCCCCCCTCCACACCACCATCACCACACCCCTCTCCATCCGTCACAGCCGGGCGCGCCTCCTACCTCGTCCAGGGAGCAGCTCACCGGGCCTGCCGAGCGGGCTGGCGCAGGTGCCCGTGCCGGTCCCGATGCCGTTCACGGCCGGGTCGCCCTCCTCGCTGATAGCCTGCCGCAGCCAGCGTTTTTTGGCCGACCCGCCCAGCTGGGCGGCCGGCGGACTGGCGGCCGCTGGCGGCGCCGCGCCGCTGATGCTCAGGCTAGCGCGACGAGTGTGCCCCGGTGGCGAGCGGGCGCCGCGCGCGTACATCTGCGGGAACTCGCCGCCCGCCTCGCCGCCGCCGCCGCCGCTGTCCGCCGCGTGGGGCACCACCGTCTCCACCGTTTCGTTCAACCACTCGGTCATCAGCATCTGGAGGAGAGAGAAGAGGGAGATCAGGGTCGCGGGATGCGCTGGGACGGGGAGAGTACCATAGTAAATGCAAAACGCCTGCAGGAGTCTCGGTAAATTTGCGATGTAATCAGCAACATGTGGGTCGTGAGACACATGTGGGCGGGAGTATTGTTCAGCTAGAGCCGTTAATCATCTGTAACGATTATAAATTTAAACGTGACAAATAGCAAACATCTATAGCCATGCGAGATGTGAGCATTGCAGTTCCGCGCTTGAGACAACAATCCCATGAGTTGAATAGTTATGGCGCAACTGAAGATGCCGATTGACGTAACTGAAGAGATATGATGCAATCTTCCACATTTGACACAAGAATCTAGCATGCATTTCATAAGCTTGGTATCAAGTCACGCTTCGGTAACAATCTAGCATGCATTTCATAAGCTTGGTATCAAGTCACGCTTCGGTAACCAAACTGGGCCAATCAATATTTGTTCGTTTCAAAACGCTTCATCGATGTCACAGACAAGTTAAAGTCCGTTTCAGTTCGGTGCTGTTCTGTTTTACCTTGCTCGAAAACCAGTGGGCGGTGGCTCACTTAAATAAGCCCATGACAGCATCGCAACTGCAAAAGGAAAGACGGCTTTCGCTTTCCTTTCACCAATCGTATGCCATAAGCCTTACAAACTGCGCTAACGTCACCGCCCGGCCAACAAGCAAACCGACACGCAAATGCTCCACCCCAGACTAGCGGCTGCACAACCGCGTGATATCAACCCGCTCCAACCAGCCACTTCCCTCAGAGCAGGTGCCGTGAGGATAACCTTCGCCATTAAGCCCGTATACACCGACGCCGAGAAAAAAAAAAACGTCGTCAATAGATGAACATCTATGGAGGAAACTGGTTGCCGCGGCTCGGCGCCGGCCGGAGCGGCGGGCACGGACGGCGGCCGAGCGCCCGGCGCCGCCCGCCGCGCCAGTCAATCGCCCCCGATGGCTCCGGCGGCGGCGACGATCAATGGCGTCTGCAAATAATCCGCCTCCGGTGCGTCCGGCCGGTGCAGCGGCGACATTTTTAGACAGAGCTGCCGCCGGCCGGCTGGCGCGGCTGCGGCTCCTCCAGGTGGTTTGAACACTCACCGGAGACGGAGCCAGCCACACAACCGCGGTGACGCTCTTCGACACAAGGGACCCACCCAGGGGACGTGTGGGGAGGGCGAGGAGGGACAGTCCCGCCCGGTCACTCACCTTCTTGGTCTTTGGGAAGCGGAAGCCGTGCGAGTTGACGCCGAGGACGGGCGCGCTCTGCGGGGCGGCCTGCGGCGGTGGCGGTGGCGGGGGCGGGGGCGGCGCGGCGGCCGACGGTCCGGGCGGCGGCGGTGCGCCGGCCGGGGACGTCTCGTCGCCAGAGTGTATGTCAGAGCCGGCAGAGTCGGCCGCCGACTGGCTGACCCGCCGCGGCGAGGAGAGCAGGCGCGACCGGCTGCCCTTCCGGCTGTGGGCAGAAGCACGGGACGGGTCATACTCAGAGGAACGGCATAGGGCGATACAATACACCGAACATCGAGACAACGCGCCAGGCCAGAGATATAGCCCGGCATAGCTGCAGTCACATGTGCATTGTGCAACAACCACAGGGACTGGACATGTCATGACCGATTGACCAAATCTCCTGCCAAATCAGGATTGCAGTCTACTACGCACAACTTACTATATGACAAAGCCCTCGGCCTAATGACGATACACCAGTAATGACGCGGGAAGTCGGTTACGTAATAACTACGCTATCATTAATATCCAGCAGCCAGCTCGTTACCTGCTGACCATAAACAGAGAGTCTCATCTCGACACTAAATAAGATTATATCACATCACAACTGCAGTAGGATGCCGAACCCGTTGGCAGGATGCAAAAGACACGATATGGCTAAACGGTGGACAGTGACAGTAATGTGGAATATAACCTTCACAGTTTCAACTTTCCAAGTTGACTCAGCTGCTTGTTGGGCTCACTTGGCAACCGGTTAATCCTATCAAGGTCGTTCAACATAACACCACACCATAAACACACACTTCCTTTTAGGAAATGCTCGTCAAACGGCAACATGGAAAGTTCCATCGGAAAGTACGCTGGCGTGGTTACAAATCTGCTAAGTGTCACAACTACGACGTGAAGTGGGATTATTACACACCTGTTCAATTGTCAAAGCCACTCCTAAGCAGTGAAACTAACACATGCAGTTAGGCAGAAGACTGTGAGTTACAAGTCACCACAAGCAACTCACGAATAGTGGTGACGTGAAACCAAACCCTCCCCGCTTGTCACCCCTCCATATTCTCACCCCCCCCCTTCCCCGGGCCTCTCGTTCCGGGCGATCACTCCACTCACCCTTTCTTTCTTCCACCGGGTTTATCCGCCGGCGGCGGCGGCGGCTCCTCTGTCGAGTTGTTCCGTGAGTTGGAGTCCTCCCTGGACTGTTTGTTTTTACGCGGAGAATCCCCGGCGGCCGCCGTCGCCTGCTGCCGCTGCTGCTTCTTTTCCATCCGCTCGAACGCCTTCATGATCGCCTCAATCTTGCGCTCCTCCCGCGTCTGTGGGAAGGACATACAGACGTGTCAGTCAAGCACCAGAGCCCAATCTTCTAGTTTAAGGTTTGACGCTTAGACACCACATACGGCCCGAAAACCACCCATAACATGAACGCACACTACAGGCAATCAGGCCACACGGAACAAGTGAACGGTTACACGCCAGCGAATCGAACCACGCCACTGTCTCTCCACACTTCCACACAGGCCTGATCCAACTGGCGACCCAGCCCGTCGCGCCAGCTCACACTAACTCGCCGCTATGCCGGCACCAGAGTGGCAGCCGTGGTGGGCGATAAGACGTCACACTTCCCCAACTGAGTCACCCTCGGGAAGTCCCATCCACACCCAGAGCAGCTAGCCAGCAGGCGGGTGTCGCAGCCACAAACGCTTCACGGATGTGTAAATATGTGCAATATGTGGACACATGTGCGATACCGGTATCAGACAGCTATAGCACGTTCAGCGGGGCGATATTTACAATACTATCTGCAATTCGCCCACTGAAAATAATCTCCTGCATTGATAGATCTGAAGCTATCGCAGTCTGCACTACGATGATGATGATTTGCGACTTTAAGAGCCCGGAGATCAGAGGTCATCGGCGGCTAGTTGCCATTCAATCTGTACGTACTCACTAGTACGGAAGTGGACACTGCTGGTCAAAGCATCATTTCTTACTCCATCCTTTTACGAACTGTGACCCATAACCACCCATTACATAACGTCAGAGGACTACCAGCTGCTCACCCGTGCCCGGCAGTGACTCACCAGTTTCTTGGGCTCCTGTTTGGCCGGTGGCGACTCAGCCGGCGGCTCGGAGGGCGACACGACATCGGCCGCCTTGGCCGGCGAGCGGTGCGGAGACTTCTTTCTCGGGGTGCTGTGGTGAGTGGTGGGCGCGGGCGGGGGCGGCGCGGCCGGCGGCGGCGCGCCCTCCTCGCTCGACACCTCCTCGTCCTCCGACGGCGCCGACGGGGTGGGCGACGGCTGTCGGACAGAGCTGCGGCGGCGGCGGCGGGCCGGCGTCGCAGCCGCAGCAGCCTTGCCGTTACTGCGAACAAACGGGGTCGGTGTTAGGGGCATGTGCCAAGTACAGGTGACGCTGTGGGGAGTAGCTTCTCCGTCAGTACTTGACTAACATCACCCAAATATGTTCCGTGTTGGATTTGTTCTGATAACCAACCCAAGAAGACAAATTGGAAGAAATCTGACGGCAATTCAAAAGGGATCATGGATTTCACAAACACGCTAAATGTGATCAGCAACTACGGTACCATTCGCATACGACCGACACACTAGGCAATAGCCTCGTTTCAAGGAAGGCTCAAACCAATCTACGTAAATGTGACAGGGAAGATAAACAGCCACGTCATGAAATCCATAACGATACAAACATGGAAACGCAATCACGATGCGTAATGTGGCACCAGAATCATAGTAACGCTCCTAGCATTGAACCAAACTTTTTTTTTTGGAAAACCGGTCGCGCATGATTACGAAATAATCATAAGAAAATAGGAAGCAAAACTTCCATATACTAAACAAGACGTATCATTTGCACATACTGTCACACAGGCTTGATGAAAGTCAAGTAAATAAAGTAAATATTGACACGTTCCTGAAAGCGCGAGATAGACGTCAGCCGTCCCGGGTGTCATGTTCATTAATAACTTCCCGTAATTGTGTAAACAAATATCGAGAACAGGTTCATAGCTGTGGCCTGGAGACAGACAAAAGATGAAGCTGATGTATCCAAGAATGTCTTCGTTTGAAGGTTTATCATGAAGCCACGTCTGTCAGGAGACAGAATTGGGGTGTGGTATTTACAAAATAGCTGATGTATCCAAGAATGTCTTCGTTTGAAGGTTTATCATGAAGCCACGTCTGTCAGGAGACAGAATTGGGGTGTGGTATTTACAAAATAATATGATAGGATTTAAAGTTGGATGGCTCAAAATCCCTAGACGTCTCCGATCTTGACAGCAGCGACATACCAGAATGAGTTAGGCTGATTTATTACTTAGCTTACGACTCGAGCCGTCGAGCTAGGGTCCAATAATAAATGGAATACAAATGCTGCGAGGTAACTGATGGCATACAGTTTTCAGACCAACAATATTAATCAAATAAGATGCATCACTGATCAATGGCAAATTTTAGAACTGTTGTAGTAGGCATACATGAGGGCTCGTCAAAAGAAAGTAGCACACCTAATGGATCCAGCAAATAAATGAATCACACTAACTCTGGCATATTGCACTGGGGGACATGACGCTTGTTACCAAGGGACTTTTGGATTCAGCTTCTAACTAGTTTGGCGACGTTAACTTCCAATCAACCTATCCCAGCCGACAAAATTACAAACACATCACTCTTTTCCCAGGATCTTCGCTCCTCCTCACAGCCACACAGCCCTCCCAGTCGCCCTCGACTCCCCACTACTCACTTGTTGATGGCTCCGTTGTTGTTGTGCTGCGCCGCGATGTGACAGCCCTCGCCGCGGCCGCAGGCACACACCAGCTGGCGCGCGTCCGGCTGGTCGTGCGCGATCGTGATCTCGGCGTGTCGCGGCACGGGCGCCATGGCCACCAGATGCAGACGCAGCGCGCCGCGGTCCACCACGTGCCGGATCACGGCATTGGGTCGGCACGAGCGGCGCACGAAGCGCGCAGAGTTGCCGTAGCGGCGCGCGTCCACACACACGTGCAGCGCGTCGCGCGGGAACCGGTACATGAGCACGTGCGGCTGGTAGCGTTTACTCTGCAGCGGGTACTGGCAGCGGTACTCGGTGAGCAGCATACAGCGGCCGCGGAACTCGAGCAGAGTGGTGTTGGCCACGATGGGCAGCACGGCCACCAGGCCTTTCTCGGCCTTGTCCACGGGCGAGACGGCGCAGCGCTCGGGGCCGGCCGGCGGCGGCGGCACGGCGCCCGTCCTCATGCCGGCCAGACGCGCGCGCAGCTCAGGCGAGTAGTGGTTGGTGACGGCCTCCTCATACTCGTCAATCCAGCAGCGCAGCTTGCGGGCCGGAGGGTCCGTGGGCTCGTCCTCGTCCTCGGCTGCTGCTGCTGAGGCGGCGACGGCCGGCCCGCGCGGCGCGCCGCTGCGGGACATCCGCCGCTGCTGAAACACGGCAGACAACAGGATACCTCAGGACTGAGCGACCGGGGACGGGCGGATCACACACGGCCGGGGCGGAGACCGCACACACAGTGACAGCTAAACACGGGGTTACGTGCCAGAACAAAGACATGGGGGTAGACATTAACCCGTGCATCAGTGCAATGATTTGACCCACGGCGAAGGTGCTCTAGTGTTTTGACGGATGCTCTTGTGTGCATGTTTGGACGAATGTGAGCGGCTCAGAATGCAATTGGCAGACATCCAACCCAGAACACGCGGCCTCTCAGTGACCAAATCCCACGTTAGCACGCAAACGCCGCACAGAAGCCGAAAAATCGCCAAGGACACATCGCTTCACGGGAAATTCGAATGTCGTCTGGATACTGATACGACAGCAATGAAAGCACAGGGACTCGGGAACATTGTAACACCTGTCATTTTGAGGTAAACAGGACACATTTTTAATCCAAACTGTCTGTGGTCGTCCTGAGTCTCGATGCCGGTGATATAATCATATGTTAGGGCTGGTGCCTGACGTTCATAGACGGCAATGTTCAAAACAAAAATCGTTTCGGGAAGTCCCAATAGCAGCAGTCATTTCTCAAAGCACCAATAAAGATGAACTCGGATTTCAGAGCGACGAAACCAATACTACCACGACTAGCATAAGCTTGACTTTGACTTATGCGACAGATTACAAAGTTACGATTCATGAAATGAATTTGTTTGACGGCGACAATAATACGGCAATGCCCAACACAACCACGTAAGCCAGGCGAAATAAACGTCAACCCAATCTAAAGGCGATATCCAAGAACCATAACTCATCCAGCAACTGTCCCTACTCACAACAAGACACGTCAAATAAGAACGGACGCCATTTAATTGCGTCCCAGAAAAGCTATTTCTGGCACCTAAAAGCTGACTCGCCCCAAAATTGGTCCTCAGCACCTATTTGGTGGATACCAGCACCAATCATGGAAAATGACCTTAATTAGCTGTTTCTGGCACCTATTCATCGGTACGCCTTACTCTTTTTTCTGAATCTGGCACCTAAATGCTGAGCGTAGCACCAATCTAGTAGAAAAATGAACTACTGGCTGGTAGAATCATGTTGTTCTGGTATAATGACCCCTGGAGTCTAGCCTAAAGGTTGCCAGTGCAGCTACACTCTAAGACAGCCCGTAGTGATCTCAGCATTGTATATGACGTTTAAGTAAGCAAATAATATTGATTTGTTTGAAAAAAAAACAATGTCATTTAAATATTTAAAAGTATTTATTTGTAATGCTTAAAGGGAAACATTTTGGTGAGTAATTGTCTCCATTTTGACCATTAAAACGGGTATTGTATTTTTTGACGTCATCAAATAGCTCCAAAAAAGAAATGTAATGTTTTCATTCCGTTCAAGGCCGCTGAAGAAACGCGGGATCTTGCGTGGGACATTATCCGTAGTTTGCCGCGCAGAGTTATGCCGTGGTTGTGCCTTTTTCATCCGTTTCTTACTTACTTATGTCATAGGTATGTGTTCATGAAGCTTTGATTTTGTTTTTGGTTATTGTGTGGCCGGTCAGTCAAACGCCCCTGTAGAAACCGGATGCTGCGTTTGATCGAGATGGAGTCAGACGATGATTGCAGAAAGCTAATAATATTGAAAAGAGGGCCGGTTGCGTGGCATGTCTGTTCAGAGTTGAGATTTTGCTTTACTCCAGTTTATGACCTGAGAGCCTGGCTGGAAGTGACGGATCCAAACTTTTCACGTTAAAATGGCTGAGTGTGCAATAATCTCTAGTCTCTACATAGCGGGCTGGTATAGGAGCGTCTTGTTATGCTGCACCATAGCTGGCTAGTGATTCTCTTTTGGCTAGAAATGGCATTAACCATTATCTCCACTGGCGAAAATGGCACTTGACATCACCGAATGCAACGTTCATGTTGTTAGGATACATAAAATCAGGAAGATTACGCGAATTAGGTAGGCAAACGTGGAATAAAATAGGTGCTGGATGTTTTGGTTTTGGTGCTGAATCAGCAAACAGCAAATACGGAGTTCAACTAGACGATCTGGCAACTTTAGGCTGTGTGGAAGCAATTAGGTGCCAGATTCAGATATTAGGGTCGAATAAGCATTTTGGGGCTGATCAGCAATTAGGTGCCAGAAACAGCTTTTTAGGGACCAGAAACAAATATTCCCCAATAAGAACTCCAAAACCACTACGTGACTTTATAACAACATCCCAGTGACCAAACAGTTCATCTTACCACCCGTCCCCGTTCCCCACCATCCGTCCACACAGTATGTAACCCTCCAAACATAATTGCTCCACAGCAAGTCATGTCACACCTCGCCTCACAATTACCTAACCCGACAGTCAGCGCCCCCCCCCCCCCCACCAGAGTACACCACCCACCGCCCAACACGCCAACACGGATCACTGCCCACCACACCCACCGCCCACCACCCACCGGCTGGCGCAGCACGCCGAGCGCTCCCGACGCATAAATAGTGACTCCACCCGTCGGTGGGGCTCGCTCGCTCCGACGGCATGCGTTCAGCCGTGAAACAGAGCCATCGACCGGCCTTCCAGCGACCACCGGCGGACGGGCGGACGGCGGTACAGTGCTGAGTGCCGGGCAACCGACAGCGGTGGGTGGTGGGTGTGTGAGCGGTGAGCGGTGGGCATGGGCGGTGGACGATGTGTGATGGGCGGTGGGTTGTGTTTATGAGTATGTGTCTGTGTCTGTGTGGATGGGGGGGGGGGTGAGTAGTGAGCGTGCACAAGCGGTAGGTAAGCTGTTCAATGTTCATTCAGTGTGTGAGAAGTCATGGGTGCTACGGACTGGGAACGAGTGTAAGATACGACGGGCAGCCGAAGGACAACTTTGGGACTTGGGGGAGAAGTGCCCCATTGTACAATGAGTACTAAAAGGTGATATATTCAACGTCCCCTAGCAATGCGGACGGGATACTGCGAGAACTGGGAACCATTATGACACCTTATACGTTTGCAGCTAACCCTCGCATGAACGTATTTGAAACGTGCTGCGAAACATAGCGCCATAAGCTAATTGAATCTGATACGCAATGGAGAATGCAGTTTAGCGATTGTGTTACGTAACATAATAAGCGTGAAAATAAGAATGTTGCTGTACAACTTGGGCTTTACAGATCTCTTAGCTGCAGAAATGTCCTATAAAGCGGATTGATGATCCAGTGAGGCAAGGAAAGTCAGGCATGAAATCACCGATATAGGGTTTAGTAGAAACCATGATGCAACCGCTAATGCAGACACAATTTATAGGATGTTTCCTATTGTTCAGGATATGAAAATGATAGGTTACTGCATCAGTAAACACAAAGACCGGTCAATGAGTACTAAAAGGCAAGGGGTCGCTGAGGACGAAGACGGGTTCCCAAGGCAACAGCCGACGGTAGTCCGATAGCCGGTAGGGCGGGAGCTGCTGAGGGCGGGAGAGGCTGAACAAGTGAAAAAAAGAGGAGCTGCTACCTCAACGCTTTTCAAGCCGCAAACGTACAAGGCAGATAGTGTGGGAAGAACAGCACGAATGCTAGGCGAAAGTCATAGAGGTGGAGGGCTACGTAGCATCGTTTGGGGACTCGTGGCGCTCGTTCCACACGTCCCACTGAGCCCCACCCCCACCAGAAGTCGGTCCCTAAGGGTGCGGGCGGCACCAGCAAACTCTCACCTTCTTCACGGGCGGCCGTTTCCGTTCGCCGGTCGACGGTGTCGACTGGGGATCGTCCGTCGACAGCCTGGCCGGGTCGGAGGGCGCCGCCTGGCGCTGCCTCCTCCGCTCCGCCGCCGCCGCGCCGGCCGGCGTCTTCTGACCCGGCCGCGCCGGCCGCTTCTTGAGCACCTGGCGGGCGGCCGGGCGCGCCGCCGACTCGCCACCCGAATCAATTGAGTCGTCCGAGTCGGTGAGCAGCTTCTGTCGGCGGCGCAGCTGGAGTGCGCGCGCTCGCCGCCGGTCGAGCCGCCGCGGCTGACACTGCTCGCACAGGTACTCGTCGGGAATGGAGGCGCGGTCGAGTCCCACACAGTCCACGTGCTGCCAGACCGAGCACCGGTCGCAGCAGATCATGTAGCCGTCGTCGTGCTCAAAGTCGCTGCCGGACGCGAAGAGACAAGAGACAGTGGGTTAGGCAACACTCCCTCTTCCACACACACAAACACAGACGGGAGGAGTCGTCGCGCACACACTCACAGGCCCGTGTTCCCGGGACCAACACCGCACAATGTCGTGATACTCGGAGCCACAGTGCGTCACACGACCACATCGGCCGCCACGGCCAGCGGAAAACGACTGGCTCAGCCATGGGCGACACGAGGAAAACCGGCCGGGCCGAGCTCCGAGGTGCAGTGTTTCTGGAGCATACATACCGTTAGTAGCCGGCGTGACTGGCACAGTGCGACACGACACTGCCAAACTCAGCCGGGCCGGCCGTCCCCGCTCAGAAACGATACATCAGCGGGGATTATCCGCCGATCACGATACCCGGCCCTTATCTCCCATACACAGATCCCATGTCATACTGGTTCTGATGTACTCGTCCGCAATCGTCCCGTGGCCCTCCCTCCCCGCATCTCTCCCCTCCCCACCCGTGCGGCAGCTCACCATATACACCTGGTGACCGAATCGTCCACCGTCTCCGACTCGGGGGCCGTTTCCGTCTCCTCTCCGTCGTCGGGCTCGACCGTCGCCGTCGACGGGGTGGCCGTCGGTGTCGGCGCCGCCGCCGGCACCGGGATCGGTAGCCCGAGTCCCGCGGCGCGCAGCGGCGAGGACAGCAGGCCCTCCGCCTCTGCAGAGGCCACCAGGGCCAGGCTGTCGAGCCCGCCCGTGGACGGCGGCAGCAGCAGCGGCGCCGGGGCCGGCGGTGGAGGGGGAGGAGGGGGCGGCGGCGGCGGCGGCGGGGAGACCGGCGCCGGAGGGGCGGTCGGGACCGGCCTCAGGACTGACACCGGCACCGCTTCAGGTACGGGTAGGGCCGGCGGCGCGGCCGGCGGTGGCGGCGGCGACGGCGGGCCGGCCGCGGCCGGCAGGAACGCGGGCGCGGGCGGGGGCGGCGGCTCTGGGGAGCGGGGCGGCGGGGCGCCGTAGTTGTGGTCCTGCAGCACGTGCTGGTACGGCGCGGGAAACGGTTTCTCTCGGGCTGGCCTGTCGGCACACACAGGAAATCCGCTCTCAGCGATCGCTGCGCACACACACACACACACACACACACACACATCAGCACAGACAGGAAAACGGCCACATCTAGGTACACAGACTGGAGCGCTCGACAAGTACTCCACGAATCTACCTACAGATAGCCGAAACAATGATACACAATACGACACCGAAAAAAACAGCTGTACACCACTAAGGTATCCATTTTTCTGCACCAGTTACCGTGACCTTGACGCGGTTCCGGAGCGTCAGGACCATGGCAAAACAGCAGCAACGATACCTAAACGTAACAAGAGTAACTTTCACGAGCACAGCTTCTCATGCCATCCACTCTCTAGGCTAATACAGCTTTCCCCACAGCACACCTTCCTCGCACCCTCGTCCCTAAATCTCTGCACGGCCAGCCCCGTGACTAGTCCACCCATCACCCTCCCCCTACCCTCTGCACCGACCGCCGACAGAGCGGCCCGCCGGCCAGTCACTCTCGGGGGCGGGCCTCAGCGGCAGTGACTGGCCATCCGGTCACAGTGAACGCGCCGCCGCCGCCTATGGCTTCCCGGCGGCACAGCTGTGCTGTCAGCAGCCACCACCTGACAGTCTGCAACTGGCCGTCACATCGGGGTGGTGTTGACGAGCGACCGAGCCGCCACTGAGTCCGTGAACAGAGGCAGCGCGGCGCTCACCGTACGAGGATACAGCAGCGAAAATCCGTCCGGGAAACCCACCGCCGGGCGGGCGGACTGAGAGAAGTATGCTCGGATCGAGAGGAATGGGATGGGGAGAAGCCGGACAGACTACGGAGTATTCCGGACTGTCCGGACGGACCAAACCGGACCGACGGACGGTAGGGTGGGAGGGCGATGGTCCGTGGTCCGGACCGGACGGACGGCGGTGCTGGCTGCCGGCCCACCGTGACTCAGTGGGGGCCGGCCGGCCGACCGACCGGACCGGCGGCACTGGCACTTTCACCGTGCACTGGCAGTGGCGGCTGCCCGATCACCCCCACCCGGCCCCACTCATGGCAGTGGCAACTCCCCGTGTACCCCAACCCGACTCCCTGGCAGCGGTGGCTCCCCGTGTACCCCCCCCCCCCCCACTGGCACTGCAGCGGTACCCGCCCACATTCCCCTGACCCGCGCGGCAACAAAGGTCGGGGGGGAGGGGGCAGCGGCAGAGGTCCACCGGCGATAGTTCATTTTCGGCAAACACTGAACCTGCAGTCTGAGCCATTATGTAACCGTCTTTTAGACCTTCACATACAAACAGCAGGATACACAATATTTACAAGGAAAAGGAAAAATTAAGCGGTAGTTTCGACTAGTCACAAGAACCAGAGTTAACAGATGGCTCTACGAACTAACACTCAAGCGCGTTCAATGGGCACACACAGATCTCTACTACGACTGCACGGAAGTAACAACAATGACGTACGGGTAGCAGCTGCACTGCGCGATAACACTACCAAAACACTCACAGCACCACACCACTATCTGATGAGCACCACTGATAGCATACGATAAACACGGGGCGAAACATAAACATAGCCACTCACAACCCTTTGGCCTTTACATCAGTGTTGGGCTTCATTTTCATCTGGCAATCAAGGTCCAACACCGAGCCCATCGGCCAGCCGCCATGACCTTCCTACAGTTGGACCCTAATTAGACATTATCCGTGCAGCGGCCCGGCGACCAGTGACGTCACGGGTCCACCGGACGGGAGATGACGTCACTGGTCCGACGGTCGAGCGCCGAGCGTGACTGACCTGACGCTGGCGTAGGCGTGGATCTGCGATTGGAAGTGGTAGGGCGCGGGCTGCGGCGCGGGCTGGCCGGCCGCGGCGCCGGCGCCGGCGCTGGGGGCGGCTCGCGGCGCCGGCCGGCCGTCCGGGCTCCATAGCGCGGCACTCATGGCGGCCCGATCACCTCTGCGGCAGTGCGCGTCTGTCCGAGCCCAATGTGACGCGGTGGCGACGATTGCGGCGCGGCGACGAGCACATCACGCGGCTGTCCGCCGCTCCGAGTGCCTGCCGGGCACAGCGTCAGTCACAGGGCGTTACACACAGCCAGGGCATCACATCGTCCCGTCACACCGGCTCTCGGTAACAGGGCGCGTGCAGTCGGCGGTCGCGGCCGGCCGGCGCGAGCTGCATAAATAAAGCGTCGGCCGGCAGTCTGGCCGGCCGGCCGGCCGAGTAAGGTGACCCCCACGCTACGTCTTTAACCCCACGGCAAGACGCGCCGCCGCACACTTGCTTGATATTTACTGAGTGGGATATAGTTCTGGCAAAATCTCAGATACAGAGAATAATCATCGACATTTCAAAGCATCCAGCAATTACGGAAACATGTCGAGCTTTAAAAACAAGAGGAAAACAATGCCAATACGCATTGGCTTAAAATATCTCGGTAGGCTCCTCGTGTTTATGTGCATTGTTCATCTACCGAAAATGTAGGTACCTGATGACTGGTTACTGCAATGTTCCAGATAGCCATTCGTGGCCATTCCAGAATGGCCATTCGTGCGAGCGTGTAATAAGTGGTCCGTGACGAACGCAACGGCCCCTCGGCTTTCATCCACACCCGCCCTTGGGGTAATCCACCCGCTCCCATTAGGTAACCGTCAAGGTCACGCACGTCGCTCAGACACGTGCAGCACTGGGTGCACGGGAGACGACAGGCAAAGAGTAGCCAGTTCCTGACAAGGCCGTTTCCAGTTACCTTTAAGACTTTCCGATATATGTCAGTCATAGATGTTTCAAGAGTAAAAAATTGACGTCGAACCATCCTCCAAAACGGACCGCCCACATCAACTCGCTTTGTTTACATGTCCTCCCCTTGCGATCGTACACGACCAAAGTGGACTCGTCCAACTCGGTTCAACCCGCCAGGAGCCCACCGTCCGGCATGAAAATACACCGAATAGTGGTGGCCAAACAAGAGAATTATTTGCTGCTTCATGCAGTTGCAAGACATTCAGTTGCAAGATCTAGTTGAGTTCTTAGAAACATGGTTAATTTCAGACAGCCTACAATCATCCATCATCTCATAAGAACTGACAATGAGCAGACTGAGATACTGTCAAACTTCCTAGAGGTATCATGAGAATGGCAATGTTCAAACTTCACTTACTTGAACTGAAGGTTGCTGTCTCTGTTTGTACTTCACTTTCCAAAACCTTTCTCTTGATTCCAGCTTTTCAACTGTCTACCAAGATAAACCACTTCACTGAAAAAGTAAATGCAGTTGCTAGGTATAAAAAACATTTGCAATGGCTCAGTGGCGGCGGAAGCGGGGGGGGGGGGCAGCGGGGGCACGGCGCCCCCCCATCTTCCAGGGTGGGGGGGCAAACATATCTTTTTGCCCCCCCCCCAAAAAATTGTTATCGACGAAGTACCACAATACTTCCATACTACCTACGTCAGGAACATATGCCAGTTTGGCTGAGTACCTTTTTATTAAGTTGATATAGCGAGTAACTTGGATTGATAATAGCCGTTTTCACGACGGGCTATCCGGCGAGCTAGTCCGTGACGGACTATTTCCACCAAACGCCCTCCACACATAATGCTCAGAAATCAAGCAGAGCTATCTACGAGCTACCGGTAACCGAAGTCTGGAAGAGTAGGACGGAACGCGAGTGGCCCGGCAGGCGGCACGGACGTCACGAAAGTGCGTCTGAGCGTGCCACAGGCCTTTCCCCGCGACTCTGCCAGACGCCAGCCGGCATAGGCGCGTGAGCCGGGGGGCAGCATGGGGGCAGCCTGCCCCCACAACTCTGGGGCCGTGGGGGTCTCTGCCCCCGCAAAGTTTCAAAGGGCCAGGAACCGTCGGGGCAGCTTGTCCTCCCCATATTAGCGGCCGAGGGCCTCAAAGAAAAGCTGAATGGAAGACAATACCTATTTAAGTAAAAAAATCCCCCTCTGTACGTACCTGACTTGACAGCTCATGTGTGGAAGCTTTAAACGTTTATTCCAGGTTACCAAAAAGGTAGTTTCTTGACTCAGATGAGACTAATTATCTCACTTATTTGCAAATGTTTTATTTTTTATTTTTGTTGTAAAGGCCAAGAGGTGAAAAATAAGTGGCCTAAAACCGGTGAGAAAACTAGATTTGGGGGTACCCTAGGTTCCGGGAAGGATCAGGTGTGCCCCCCCATCCCAAAATACCTTCCGCCGCCACTGCAATGGCTATTGTGAATATAGATTATTTCTGACAAGGCAAGGCCTTCAGAAGTTGCCACTGTCAATAAACTCATTTCCATGGAGGTAACAAAAGAGAGCAAAACAAAATCTGAGTTCCTTGCTGTCCATATTCATAAGTCAAGTGATCAATCCAATAAATTGCACAGTTCACCCTGCAGTGCATTCCTTACAGGATGGCATTACCAACCCACGATCTTCAACCCAACTTCTACATAAATATGCATACCAATTTGACTTTTCTTCCACATAAACATGCATACCAAGTTGATTTATGAGTCATGCTCAAATTACATCATTTGTTGAATTTGGACTATTGCAATAACACTTGGACAAAATACAAACCAGTCAGTATCAGTATCACAACCTAGTTTTTGCAAATACACAACACAACTGTAGATACTGAACTCTGGAGCAGTAGTAACCATTTGAAGAACAGAATAGACAAAAGATAAATAAAAAACATGTCACCTGCCAAGACATTTATATAGATATTGTATCCATTGAATTGCTCCAGAGGATCATTAACAGTGGGTGCCAATAAGAAATTGAAGCTGGAAAGAACACTCCACCACCAGCATTTAATTGCAAGGTTCATAATGGTGCACAAGTGACTGCATTTAGTCTTGATATAACTGTTCTGCTTTTGGAAGGAGGGAATAATTTCCTAAGATATATCATCCTTTCTGATGAGTATTTTCATGCCTATAAAAGATGGCTGCCTCAAATGGGTTTGGAAAACCAGCATTAGTATCTACTCAAAATTTGGTCAAATGGCATTTGAAACCAAAGCAGCACTGTATTGTCCCATCGATCTTGATCTAGAATAACTTAACAGCTCAAGAATTCATGTCAAGATCGCATTGTTGATTGTATGCACTTCCCTCACCGTGAATTCAAGGGAAGTCCCATTTCGGACATAAGTGACGTATATTTCTGAATGTTGAAAGAGCATCGTTTTTGAATATACATTTCCAGACACCATTTTGAGCACGATATTTTATATCTGTAAATGTGTCACCATGTCCCAACTCGTTTAATTGAAATCTCCGCATCCTTACGTTTTAATGTAATGGTAATTGGTAGAGAACTTATCAGCAGCACAGCATACTCAGGACATTTTAATGCATTTTGATAAATGCCACATAAAAAAGATTCACTTTGCTTACAGCACTAAACATTCCCCTTAAACCTAAATCGCATCAAACTATGAAAACTTGAAAATAATTGTTTCCATGGTCATTGACACATCGCATTCCTTTGCATAAACTTTCCACTAAATTACAATGCCTAAAGGACAGCTATATTATGAAGAGACGTATCCCACCTGCTCCAAAAGTAGAAAACACACACGCAGCCGATATCTCTGCCCAGGCAGACGGATCCCATTTTCACATGGGAAACCTCGACAGTCCACTCTCTTGCTCTCCTTGGACGAGTCCATTTCAAAACAGGGGAGGTGTCTGCTATGGATCGCGAGGCCAGTACCGCATAGTCACGTGACTAATAGGAATTCGCCCGCTGCTTATCACGTGATAAGCTACGCTGAAATGCGGTTTGGGGTGCCTGGTTACAAGCCTGTCTACACGAAATGAACTTGCTGCGTATCTTTACGTCGACAAAGTTGGAGTCGCTCCGACGAAAAATGGCGCAAACATGTGAGATTAGCCCTCGGTGGCCTGCCAGCTGGCTATTCCTTGTATTGCAGTTATATCGATTTCTTCAGAATTCCATCTACAAAATATCAAATTTCAAGTAAATCAAGGAAATCTATATCAAAATAAAGTCATTGTATATAAATCACTCAGAAAATGTATTGAAATTTCATATTGTCTTTGTAAAATCGGAATTTCAGAAATATTATCGATAAACAAATGCACGTATCGATTTAAGCTTTCAATTCCAAATTTGCTGTATTACGGATTTTCCAAACAAAAACTCTGAAAGTACTATGGAAAAAATGATTATGACTTTTTACCTCAGCCAGTTTTCATCGTACAGTTCAGTTGAGATAAATAAAGTGTTTTATTTCATAAAATGACTAATCGATAGAATAGATTTGTGAAGAGGCCTTGAACGCTTGATCCATAGGCTTGATTTGGACTTATGGCTTGATCTATGACCTTGGATCTATGATCATGATGGTGGTGCCATTGTGCCTTGAGAAATTATACGGCAATTGCAAATGTTTGGATGTCGCCACCGAATCGCTAGGTACCCACTTTAGAAATACAAGAACGAAGAAGATCGTTAATCGTTAGACTTTAGCAGGGTCACTTTCAAATGGGCAAAACCGGAAAGGGGTAATTTCCCCCTTCGAAAATTGAAATACTGCTCCCCCTTTCAAATTGTGCCAGAATGGCTGGGGAGGGAAAGGGGGAATTTCTATCTCAGCTTCGTTTTTGAGCTTATTTTGAAGTGGGGAGAGGGGTCGGATGGATCCCCATGGTTTTTCGCGAATAACTCCCGCTACTAAAATCGGCCAATTACGGCGAAACTTTCAATTAATTTGAGTTGATCAATTGTACACCTACACTGAAAATTTCAATACCTTGACCCAAATGACCTTTGACATGTGACCTGATTCTCGAGACAATGTTCAGCCAGAATCGCGATTTGGCGTATGTCAGCTCGCATTATCCGCGTGTTTCTAGTCTTTTTGTGATTGTTAACATCCAAAAATGTGAAATGATATTCGTCCCATGCATCACGGTGGGTGTCAAGGTCACCTGGAGGCTGGAGGTCAGGTCAGGATTATTGACCTTTGATGACCTCGGTTCACTTTTTCGAGTTTTACATGTTTCTTGGGTAGGTACCTAGTTTTTTCTAGAAACCTACAAACCTACCAGCATAAACCTACAAACCTACAACCTAACCTAACCCTAACCTAAAACCAAAAAAGTTGATGTGCCTGTAAGCCCTAATAAACAAAAAAAAAAACTAAAAACTTAAAATTTCTGCTGTTGCATGTTTGTATCAACACCGTCATACGTGTAGATCGGATCGTATCAGTATCTTGACAAATACCCCCAAAACCTGCAACCCACTACCTACCAACTTACCAACCGTACTTCTGACTTCATCTACACATATACCAATTATTTTGTGGTGAAAAATTGCTCTGCAAAGATTTCTGCTGTGTTAATGTTTACAAACAGTGCAATCTTAGAGTTGCCCAGTTTAGGTGGCTACTGACACCAGGGAGTTACAGAATGTATTGACTTCATGACAAACCATTCCATATACAAATCAGCCATTCTTGGTGTGGAGTCCTAAAAGCAAAAACACAGACAGGATGGGGAGGCTCACATACACTCACTCACATGCATACAAATATCCATACCACAACACACGCATCCCTGAGCAGTACTCGTCACAAATTGCAAGTTACAACTAACTGGCGAGGGCCCAGGTTATGAAGATCCTGCGGCAAGACATTGTACTCCGATACAGCTGAATACGGGAACCGGCAGTACTTAGGGCCTGAGTACCGCCGGTTCCTGTATTCAGCTGTATCAGAGGACAATGTCTTGCCCCCGGATCTTCATAACATGGGCCCTCGCCAGTTATCAGGCTCTGTGCGTATGGCCGGTATTTCATTAGAGTCCCTCTGCCTTGTATCACGGCCGTGAATGCTTCCACGAGTCACCATTCTATTTCTCAGCAGCTCCGGTTGCCCTGTGTGCATCATACACTTCAGCATGATTAGTAAATGATGGCGCCACAGGTTCTCCGCCGACAGCCACTGCAGCTCCCTAATGACATCGCTTATATGATAGTATTTCCGCTGACCCGAATTCACCCGAGCTCCAAATTTGATCAATTTCTGCGGCGGGCCCCCTGCATTGCGTCGCACATGCCGTATACACTAATGCAATATCGTACGAAAGACATAACCAGCGCCCAACCAGCGCCTGCACCAGCGTAGTCAGCGGAAGTCTCTCTCGGAAGGAAGAATGTTTCCTGTTAGTCACCACTCACCAGTCAGCCAATTTGTATTGTTTTTGTCCCATTCCAGGAACTCACCGACCTAGAGGCAGATCTCCACAGTAATTGAGTGTCTGGATGTGCTAAGATGCGTAGTGCGGGACCAGCAGAGATTCTCAGGGCCAGTCAGAAGGACGATGAATTCATCAAACGGCTGCAGAGTGATGTGAAGGAGATTGCTCAGAGGCTCAAAGGCAAGTTTCTTTAGCAAAAACTGGTAGACTCAAAACCATTTCTTCCTCCTAGTGATACACTAAAGGTCCTCAGCGTCCACATTTTTATGATAATAACCATCAATCGTGCATTTTTCTCGTCAGTAATGAAGCTCGTACCCCCCGCACACTGACGACCCCCTGCGTCCGCGGTGTCTCCAGGCGACGAGTGGTGGCTGCGGTGGCACCGACACCTGGACAGTGGCGCCACCTATGTCTACCTGCTGCTGACGACGGCGGCCGGCCTGCAGACGCTCGGAGAGGAATACGCCGGCATCGTGCAGGTCGTGGGCCGGCGCCGGCTGCCCGGAGCGCTGGTCAGTCTCAAGGAGCAATTTTGAGGAATTATCAAGGTTTTTGAATCGCTTGCGGCAAAAATACGCGGTGGTATAGTATATGATTATGGTCGGCCTGAAGGCACAGGGATGCCAGGCCACAGACTAAGAAAACTTTGGCAATAGCCCGAAAGGGATCTCCTTCATACGATTCAGCACTGAACCTTCCAAGGCTTTTGGAGCTTCCTGATTGGTGTCGAGGTGACCCTGGGAAGTCAACTTTACTGTCACCCCCGGTATCGATTTCCACCCAGCCCGCGATGTACGCTTACCGTTCAGCCTACGGTCCCCGCTGACCACTCCTCCCCCCCCCCCCCATCTGCCGCTCGTCATAGCGCCGGCTGCTGATGGTCACTCTGCACACGTTCGGGCCGCTGCTGACGGAGCGTCTGGTGCGGCGCTGGGAGGGCCCGGCGCCGGCGCGGCCGCGTCTCAGCACCGTGCTGCGCCTCCTCTATCAGCTCAACATCACTGCCTTCTACCTGGGCAGCGCCTACTACCACCTGGACAAGAGGGCCACCGGTATCCGATACGTGAGTGGATGAGAGGGAGCTGCAGCACGTCTTCCGCTTATTGACAAAGTGATGACGTGATGGGTTCTGGGGGAGAATGGCTGTAAACGATTGATGGGTTTGGTAAGGTTGAAACGTAAACAATCTGAGGAATAACTGATATAAACGATTGATGAGCTTTGTAAAGTTGAAACGTTTATAATCTGAATGGAAGGCCAATGTGAATTGCAGGCCACCGACTTGCGGTCGATCGATTAGCTTCCAAAGATATTAATACATTTGTTTGAAGAGAAGTTGGAAAGATAGCTTTCATTTTGGGCACGCTTTTAAAGTGGCATTTTCTTCCGCTGATGGGATTTCGTTTGTGTCATTTCCTCTCTCTGTGGTGGCTTACTAAAATATTTTACTGATGCGATGGCTTGTCGGACAGTCTGCGATGATGTTTTCTCAGCATAACGTCCCGTTTCGCTGTGCCGTTTTCAGCTGCTGGTGCGGCCCTGGATGGGTGACGCCCTCTCTCGCCGCACCTTCCTTCTGCTGGGTATCGTATCGATGGTTCACCTGTGCATCTCGGGGGCGCTGCAGCTGAGGGGTATCGCTGCACCGGACCCCTCCAGCCCCACTGTCGGGGTGCCCGCCTCATCAGACAGCGGGCCGGGAGCTGATCAGACATCCTCCTCCGGCGGGGCCGGGCCGTCAGACGGCACCGGCTCGACCCCGGATGCCGAGGAGGAGGCGGTGCCCCACCGTCTGCGGTGCCCGCTGTGCCTGTGTCGGAGGAGTGTCAGCACGGCCACACCGTGCGGCCACCTGTTCTGCTGGTCGTGTGTGGTGGACTGGCTGCAGACCCAGCCCACCTGTCCGGTGTGCCGGGAGGAGGTGCCGCCGCACCGGGTCGTGGCGCTCAGGGCGTACGACTGAGGCGGAACGGGCGGAGGGGACACTGCGCGATGAAAGAGCCGACTGGGCGAGTGGGCGCCGATGACCACCGCAATCCGGTCGCCCTTAAACCCCAAATTCATCATCATTATCAATAGAGACGGCTTCTGTGACTGCCGTACGTGCCGTTAAAATGTGGTGCAGTGCAGCAGGTTTGGTCATTTAGGGCAATATAATGCTCAGTTTCTGTGGTTCAGCATATTGCGCATATTGATGATTATGTCTGATAATGCTAGTTTACTGTATTCCTCATGATAAATATGTCTATTGCATCTACGCTAGATAGGCAGTGCCGGGTAGTCTGAATGTAATTGAAATGAAAATCATTATTTTTCCACCCTATATACTGTGTAAAATGTGTGTTAAAACAAACTGTGATATTTTCGGGAAAGCAATAGAGGATATGAATATGCAATACGACGTTAACTTGGTCTATCCCATCTCTGGGCTATGCCATTCGAGAATCAGATTTTATGTAGATCATAGAGCTAGGCGGGATAGGAAGCGGGAGATAACTTCGTGCAAGATGTCGGCCCAAAATGTCAACGCGGCATTTGCAACTTCATTTTCATACCCTCGCCGTACACGCGAAAGACACTCATAGATGTCCACATTTATTGCATTACCAAACAAGTGTTAAAAGAAACATATAATATAGGGATGATGAAACTTCTATGAAACACGTGATCAACAAAAGAACGAAATTCACATTCTGTTCGAAAGAACCGTACAAAATCCAATGCACTTTCGCCGTAAGGGATCGTTTTTTTCCAAAAAAAAAGTCAACCAACACGGATAGTATTGATGCTAACTAATGCTAAGTTTACTAATGAGAGTGCTTCTGTCATTTTTGTGATTAACTGAAACTCTCGGACATAAGCATTAGCGCTTCAAAGCAAAGCACCTTCGTGATTTATTGAAAAACGTCTTGCGTCACTTTATAACGGTCGAATGGTTAGAAGACCTATAAAGGTCTCTGGTACAAAGAAAAAGAAAGGATCAACCCCTGCTGTGACTGGTCTTGGTCAATCAGTGACCAACGATGCCCTACTACCTTGATCGTAGCACACCTAGTCTAGGAAAGGACAACCAAACGCAGACCCTCTTTTGTCCGGTTACACCCCAGCAATTTCGGAACAAGTCGACTTGTCGAGAAATGCGTTACGCCTGCTATATGGGCAATTAGGATTTCAATGATAATATGCTTGGTGACATTAATGTTGAATTGTAAAAACGTGCAGTTTTTGCTTTTGTTAAGTCTCGTTACTTAGGTATATGCACTAGTTTTTTTTTTAAATGATTTACAAGTTTCAGTTTTCCTCCTCACCCAGCACCCTGTCCTCTGGCTGAAATGCAGCAGGGTCTTTGGAAAATTTTAGTCTGAACATTTGTCGAGGTGCCCTTTTTACCGTTTAGTCCATTTACGACGATCAGCTCACCGGGGTCCCATGAAGGCGGTAGTATCGCACAAAAGCACGCCAGGCAAATTTTCACCATCACAAGTAGGCCTGTGAGCCTGGAGAAAAGCTCCGTTCGTATAGGCTCCTGTCCGCGTGGCTGACATCAGCGTGGCCTTGCGGAAGCTGCAATGTTGATAGGGTTGAACATAGGTTGCTCGTTGCTTGAGTCACATTGAAACTTTCCCGATCCTTCTAGTACATACATTTATGTGGTCGTTCTTTGATCTCTTCTTTCCTGTGTCATGCCTCCTTGATTTCATTTTCGCTGTGACCGTTTTCTTTGTTTACAATCCCAGCTTCATATTTTTTCATTTTCTGAGTGGTCTTTCTCCACTAAAAGTTGAGTTTGCAAACCATGTGAGCTTTGTCCGTGGCTTTCTTTGCTTTCCAGTCGTTATTAGAAGATCGTAGAATGTACAGCCTGTCTGCGTCGTTTTTGGGCTCGCCATCCGGAAAGTAGGAGACATTCAGGGGCGTTCCGTCACTCCAGGTCCAAGAGCTCGTGTCTCCATTAGCAGATATGTCGCCCGCCGGTCGAAAAAGCCCCAGAACGATGTTTTTGTTGTCCGACAAGTTGATAACGAAATCCATTTCCTCTGCGCTGGCAATGGATACCGGATGGGCGCTGGAGTGTAGGTCATCGCAAGCAGAGATAACGCTTTGCGGCTCTACGTTGTGGACGTGTGGTATTGGAATTTGCATCTCGCTTGTGTGCTCGGGTGGCCGGCCGCGAGCTGGCGGCGCCTCGGCTCGCCGGGCGGCCGGCCTGCCCTGGGGCGGTGCGGGCCGCTCGGCGGGTCGGGCGGCGGGCGGCGCGGGGAGTCGGTTGCGGGGCTCGGTGGAAGGTGGACGGTGAATACAGGCGTGGAACGGCTACATGTTTTGACGGTGAATGAAGACGGCGAACGGCTACATATTTTGGGGGCTCGTCTAAAAGCCTAGCAAGTTCACATGAAGTACGTGCCTGTGATTCCACCGCGCTGTGATTCCACGCTGTGATTCCAAGCTGTGATTCCACGCTGTGATTCGGTGTCGAGATTCAGCGTTGTGAGTCTGCGTTGCGAGTCTGGGCTGGAGTCGCTGCGTCGCGAGTCGAGAGTCGGTGTCCAGCAAGCCAGCAAGTTGACGCCTAGCAAGCCAGCAAGTCGGCGCCCAGCAAGTACTCGCGCTCACGTACTGAGCTCTACATTATCCGCGCCACGTTGGGTCTGCGCCGCGCCGCTCCACGTCGAGCCTGCTCCGCGCCGCGCCACGTTTGGCCGCGCCGCGCCACGTTTGGCCGCGCCGCGCCACGTTTGGCCGCGCCGCGCCGCGCCTCTCGTCGTCGAGCCTGCTCCGCGCCGCGCCACGTTTGGCCGCGCCGCGCCACGTTTGGCCGCGCCGCGCCACGTTTGGCCGCGCCGCGCCTCTCGTCGTCGAGGCTGAGCCTGCGCCGCGCCGCGCCACGTTTGGCCGCGCCGCGCCTCTCCACGTCGAGCCTGCGCCGCGCCGCGCCACGCCACATTTGGCCGCGCCGCGCCACTCCACGTCAAGCCTGCGCCGCGCCGCGCCACGTTGGCCGCGCCGCGCCTCTCCACGTCGAGGCTACACCGCTCCGCGCCACGTTTGGCCGCGCCGCGCCTCTCCACGTCGAGCTTGCGCCGCGCCGTGCCACGTTTGGCCGCGCCGCGCCTCTCCACGTCGAGCCTGCGCCGCGCCGCGCCACGTTAGGTCTGCGCCGCGCCACGCCACATTTGGCCGCGCCGCGCCTCTCCACGTCGAGCCTGCGCCGCGCCGCGCCACTCCACATCAAGCCTGCGCCGCACCGCGCCACGTTTGGCCGTGCCGTGCCGCTCCACGCTGAGCCTGCGCCGCGCCGCGTCCAGTCTGCACCAGAACGCGCCGCTTACGTCGGGCCTGTGCCGCGCTCTGCCGCTCCGCGGGCTCGCCAGTCGCCACCATGTCGGACGCCGAAAATGACAGCAATCGCGCGGAGGAACTTCATGAGCTGAGGGAACAGCTGGCGACTGCTCTTCAGCGCATCACTGAGCAACAGCAGTCCATACGTGACCTGAGCCGGCGCCTGGAGCTGTCGCTAACATCAGCGGCAGCGGCGCCCGGTACGGCCGGGGTGCCTGTTCCCGAGTCTGCGGACAACCGGGGAACCCCGGCTCCGGCTGCATCATCCGGTGCTGCAGCCGACGGACTAACAGGTCAGCCTCTAACACTGTGTATGCCCGTGTGTCCGGATGAGAATGTGCCTCAGTTCACGCCGAATCGCTCCCAGACTCGGTTCGTGCCGCCCAATACCGACTCTGTACCATCGACTCGCTTTGTTGTACAGCAGGTTCATGAGCTGGCCAGTTTTTCTTTGGGTGGCAGGCAGTCCCTCGCTCACTATCTCGATCGATTTGAAGAGCACTGTGAGAATGTGTACGCAGGAAGTCTTGACCAGGCTCTGCCGTTGCTGAAATCCAAGCTTTCAGGACAGATTCTTGATGTCTTTGTGGCCTGCGGGGACGTCTTCAACCCCTACCAGACGGTGAAACGTCGGATGCTCGACTGGATGAAGCGGCAGGAGCTCTCTGGTAACTGCTCGGCACGCGATCGTTTTCGGTCGTGTAGGAGGAACCAGGGTGAGTCACTGGCACTGTTCGCGCTCAGAGTGGCCTCTGTGTATAACGATGCGTATCCCGATCAGGACATACAAACGTCTCAGGAGTTGCGTCAGCACTTGCTTGACAACCTGCCGCATCGTGCTGCTGACTACCTACGCCGACAGATTCACTATACACGCGAGATTCATGGCATAACCCTGACGTGGCAAAACCTGCTGTCCCTGTTGGAGCGTGAGAGGCTGGATGAGGAAGTGGTGTCTAACGCCGATCCATCTCTCTTCTATACAGCCGAGCAAGCGAACAGGAGCCGTTCATCACGGTCACAGCAGAGGAGGATGGTGTCTCCAGCCGCAGCCGCCCGGCGCCGGAGACATACGACGAGCAGCGAGGAACAACAGCGCGTCCAACAACCTCATCAACGAGAGCATTCCTCGTCTAACTCTTCAGCGACTGGCGATCGACGCCCACTGCTTCGCTGCTTCTTCTGCGGCCGCTTTGGACATGTTGAGCGTGAGTGTCGTCGGAAACAGGATCTCTGTTTTTCTTGTGGCCGCCCTGGGCATTATATGCGCGATTGTAACGTGCCCCGTTCGCGTCAGAGATCGCAGAGTGCCCCTCGCTCCCGTCATAGTTCTCCAGTGGAGAATCAGAGAGCGAGTTCAGGCCCGAGTCAGCAAGTGCCATCTCCGGACCCCCCTGGGGGGAGAAGGTCAGGGTATGGTCGAGGGACCCGAAGACGGCGCAGAAATGGGTCAGAGAGACACAGGGATGGTTCCCGTTCAACTGGTTCACGTGTTCGTGATGATCGTTCGCCTTCTCCGGGAAACTAGCGGGTCCCACGTCTCCATCAGGGCAGGACGTGGTGACCGACTCGAGCCCTGTCTCCACCGAGTCTGTTGTGTCTGGCCGTTCATCAGGAGCACCTGTGTCGACCGGCTCAGAGCTGGATTCGGTGTTTGCGTCCGCTCTTGAGCCGGAGCACCTCCTTCGTTCCCGTGCCATAGTTTCAGGGCGATCAGCTGATGTCATCATTGACTCCGGCTCCTCACGGACTCTCGTCGCCAGTCATGTTGTATCTGATGGTGTCTTGCTTGCCAGAAGTGCTGCTCGGGTGCGTGCCATTGGGGGTTGTGTCGTTGAGCCACTGGGCATTGCGACAGTCGACCTGAATCTGCATGGAGTGCACCTGGAGCTGACCGACTGTCTGGTGTTGTCTGACGCGGAGTCGCCCACAGATGTCATTGTTGGCCGTGACACGCTGGAGCGGCTGGGCTTGTGTGTGGACGTCGCCCGAAGATCGGTTTCTGGACGCAATTCTGATGGTTCCCATTGGACGGTTTACATGCCATTGAACCTCCAGCAGCCTGAGTGTATGA